TCATGATTCTCCAAATCTGAGGCCTTGTACCACCACATCCATCTCCCATCATCCCTGCGATGCCCTTCCCTTTCCTTTTCCAACTCTGGCAGAAGAGAAAGCACACTGGGTCCCCTTCCACAAGCACCTGGCTCCTTCGCTGAGCCAGTGTCCTGTCTTCTTACCCAGGAATCTCACAGCATATATTCAAGGAGCTTACAACCAACCTAGCCTGCAGCAGCAATGGGCCGAAAAAGCCTACTGCCCACAGAGCATGCTCTGGGCCCTCTGATGTCATCAATACCAGGAAGTTCCACAGACCACCTACCTGTCCTTTTCACACACAGTCAGCTCACTCCATGCATGGGCTTTTATCTGAGGATCCATCCAAATACTGACCAAAATACCGATGGGGGAAACACTGCACTCGCACTAAACTTACAAGTGTGTCTGCTTGCTGAATCCAGAGGGATACAGCTTACCATCCGTTTACAAAGAATCACATTGTCTCAGATACTATAAGTCCGATAGTGATGGTTTCAAAGCTTCCATGCACACACTACACCATGTCACAGGATTTGAGCTGTCTTCTGATGTCTGTGGGGGGGTCTTGAAACCAATGCCATGTAGACAAAAGCCAACACCTTGTAGAAAGCCACTATTCTCGAATGAAGCTGAATTACAAACAGATACTGTTTTCCCAGTCTGGTTTCTGTAGAACTGGAGAGTGTGTCAGGGATCTGGCCTTTTTCTTCTACTGTGGGGGTCAGGTGTTGTGAAGGCCTGATGTTGTCCTCCCTCCCACCCCCAGGCAGCAGTGTGGTCAGAATATTTAAGACACACAATGCCTGTGGGTTGCTTTTAGACAGCCCCTTAGATTTACAATCCTGTGGATGAATCATGGAGGATTCTGGAGAATGATCAATCCCACCTGCTTCAAACTCTTACCATTTCTAAGGCTTCTGGTGATTATTTGCTTTTAATAACCACATGAGTCTATCAATGCACTTGAACTTGGGTGTACACACCAACTACATGGCTCTAGTGGGTCAAGGCAGAGGGTGGCGCTGTGCTGGGGTTAAACTCCCACTCAGAGCATCTTTGTAGGGGTTATTTTAGGCCATCTTGATTTTTCTTAATGAAGAGTAGCCAATTTCCAGCTGAAAGAACTCCCCGCACACCTGAGTCTGCAAACAGCACTTATTTGCCAGAGGACTCAGAGCCTCACAGCAAAGCTGTTTAAAGCCTAGAAAAACAAGTTGACTTGAAGTTTCTATTTTTACATGGTATCCTGTTTCCACAGGGGCTAAGACTAGTGGTTTCAAACTCAATTTAGCATTAAACTAATTTTCAGGCAGGTCTCCATGGACCAGCAATTAGGGGGAGGCAAAGAGTTCAAAGCTAGAGATTCTAGGCCCCCCTGCATAGACATGTGTATACTCTTTGAAGACACTCATTCCTGGCTGCTTCCTGTCCTGGGCCAGACAGCCACAACCAGCCCAGACAACCTGCTGCTGGAATGTCCCTTGGGCACAAGCAACTGGGCTTTACCATGTCCAGCGTCTAGAAAGATTCTGGCCAAGTCCATTCACTCTTTCTCCTAGCTGTCTTAGGGAAGGATGTAAAAACTTCCTGAGGGGCATCTCACTGTGCACAGAGGCCAAGAGGCCCAAGGCAAGAGACAACAAGAGAAGAATGGGTCCTTTCAGCAGCTCAAGCCTGAGGCTTTTCACAGCCTTTCAACCTTCCTAACAGCCACAGTGGTCCCACAGCATATAAGTCTCTGGGCCCAGGGAAGCCTAAGCCTTCCCTCTCAGTGCACTACAGCTTTATCCACAACTTCACCACTCCTGAGACTCCTAGCAGGGCTTTATCTTGAATTATAATTTTGTGTGGCAATGGTGTTTAGGTTCTACAAGACCATGGTACAAATTACAGAAGGCACCTAAAGGAAACCTCAGTCTCAACACCTCCATCTTTCTTCAGAATTCATTGCTATTTTCCCCTAACTCACACCCTCTGCTCCTCCCTTTCTCCAATTATGAGTCTCATACAAATGAGATGACCTTAAACATGCCAGTTTCCTCCTTCCTTAGCCCTTTTATGAAGTATATTCTGGATAAACATCACTTCCTCAATTCTTTCCACCCTTCATGTTTCTAGAATCTTGGACCCAGACCTGGGGTTTGGAGAGTCTGATTCTTGAGAATTTGGACAAATTCTCTCACAACTGCCTCATCAGAGAAGAGAGGAGAAGACAGGAGGAAACATCTCATGGCAGGCATCAGAGAGTGCTTATACATTCTCAGGCCTGGCCAGCAATCCTAATTTCTCCAGGAGCTGTCAGCCAGCAGGACTCCTTTCTCCAGCCCAAGGAGACAGGATAGACAGCATCCTTACAGTTCCTCCACTGCACAGGAGAGAAGTGTCAGGGCTCTAAGGGGTCAGGTAAAGCGTGCTTGACCCCAGCTGATGCCAGCAAGACAGCTGTGTTCTAGGACTGACTCCCATTTCCAAATTCCACATGCTTGCCAACTTATCCAGAGTTCAAGAAAAATCTTTTAACTCTTTAGAAATAAAGACTCCCCTAGAGAAGGTCAGTATCATGCCTGTCATTCTGAAATCCCATGCCAGGGCTGGATACCTGCTCTGAAGACACTCCTCCCCACCCCACTCCCAGGAGCCACAAGCCAGACAAGCCCTGACCAGGGAGGAGCACTGATTGAGGGAAGAGTCCTCTCCCAGCCTAGACTGTGGCCAGTGGGTAACAGACACATCCAGAGACTCCCACATGCTCTAGGCACAGCAGAGAAGGTAGGGGGAAGAGATTCAGGTAAGAAAGGTGGGGGAGGGGGACAGGAAACAAGAAACAATTCTCCTTCTTCTGGCATTTAAAAGGAGCTTAAGACATCAAAGAGCCTAAGTGGGCACATGCTGGCAAGGAAACAGAAGCGGGCCCTGGGCGTGCAAACAGTGGCATGAAGTCAGATGGGGGGCAGACACTCTACCCCTGATTCTACTCCTCACTACAGATGGGATAGGCTTTGTTCTTTGCGTCTGTCATTGTAAACTCATGTAATGGACCTTTATTGAATAATCATCTTTACAGAAACTGAAAAATCTGCCCTGGGTGCAAGGTGATGTCTTCTGGTGGGTCAGAGTCCCCAAGCCCATGTTTGGATTTCTATCATCCTCAAGATAATGCCTTATACTGTAGCTTAGGCTGGCCCTGGTACTCACTATCTGGCCACATAGCTGAGGAAGATCTCTCAGCTATCCTACCTCAGCCTCTTGAGGGCTAGGATTAGTCATGAGCCTACACATTCAGCACACAGCTGTTTTTCTGCTCATTGGTAAGTCCATGGAAGGGATGAAAAGGGTAACAATGGCTCTGCCTGCTTGGCAGATTGCCATTATGGTTTGGGGTAACAGAACGGGCACATGTTCCTGGTTAAGGTGGTGTTATGGACAACCAGGACCACTTACAGTCATGATAAATGGAAAGCCAGTTAGTTTTCACTCAAAGGACACCTCACATGTAGGTGTGAAATCCCCTTCCCTGCCTCCATGTCTGATCCAATTCTAAGCAAGATGCTGAGGACCTGTGACACTCAGTGCAGAGTATAGGTGATGCTACCAGCCAGCCAGGACTCAGAACTGGAAGCCGGCAGCTTCACTTTTCTAAAAGACCTACTGAAGCCTGGCCTAGAAGCATACACTCAGCAGCAGGCAATGTCTTTACTACAGTGGCTCCAACACACTGAAGGAAAGGGCAGAGCTTCAGGCCCCTTGCTCATCACACTAAGAGGATAGCAACCTTTCCTCAACTGCAGGCTTCCCTTACCTCTTGGGTGCTTCTGAACACTAAGGGTGGAGCACAATGGAGCAGTCTCCTCTTCTGTATGGGAAGGAAGCTCAGGAAACCTGCTGAATCCTGCCAGTAAGTTGTCCATGCCAGTGTAGCATGACCTCCTGGACTTGGGGGCTCTGGTCCTCCCTGAGGCATCACCTTGCTCACAGGGCAGAGTGCTCAGTTTCAGTAAAGATGATTATTTAATAAAAGTCCATTATATGAGCTTACAATGACAGGTGAGAAGAAAGGTGGCACTGTGCCACCTCCAGCAGAGAAGTACCTGACACTTGATTAGTGATGAGTAAACTCAAATGAGTGCTATCAAGAAGACTTTAAACAATGAATAAAAATCAACTGGAGCTCAGTGTTTAGACCCACTGTTCTTTGCTCTGCCCCACCAAGGCCAACTGGCATGGCTGGCAGACACTTTAGAGTAAATCCCCTGACCACTCCAACAGGCTTGAATCTGTCTGCTCCTCCCAGCTCAGAGCTTCACAAATGTCTGAGTGGAAATGAATGAGTTATACACTGACTGACATGATTTGGAGCTTGGGGGAGGAGATACTTGTGAATTCCAAATATTACTAGAATATAACTCTAATAAAGAATGTTCTAAGGTTTAATTGCTGCATGCCCTCCTCAACCCCTCTTCTAATAACAGTGGCTTTCCAAGTCATTTAAGAAAATAGTAAGAACTCAGGTCTGGAAGGAAGAGATTTGGATTGAGTGTTGGCATTAAAACCATCAAGTGTATGGTGACAGTAAATGTCTCCTGAGAACATTAGAGGGTCATGATGGCATGTCACAGGAGGTTTCCAGTGTGCTGCTGATGGGAGTCAGTTCCCAGCATGGTTGTCACGGTACCCCTTATGTTCCTCATGCTGTCCTCTAAGTTGTGAGGAGTTTCTGAGATGTGGGGAGTTATTTTTCACCAGCACTACAACTATTCCCCAGAACACAAAACAAGGGGGTGGCAACCCCAATTCCCAGCTACATGTCACTTCCCAGCTTTCCACACTTCTTTTGCTTTCCAGAAACACCTCCTCTATGAGGTAGAACTCTACATTCCTCAGGTCCCCTGGGATCTCTCTGACATGCCTCATGGGCCACCTGGTTTAGTTAAACAAGGAGATGCAGACTCTGTAAGACTCTGTGGCTAAATGTGTACCTTAGCATTCTGCAGGGGAGGCTGGTAACTGGATGGCCGGTAGAACACCCTCTGGGTAGCATCAGTGTGGATGTCGCCCAGGAAGAGCTCCTCTACTAGATGGTCCAGGCTGTGGTGGGGATATTGCTTCTCTACACGGATGAGCTGCAGTTCATGCATGGCAAAGTTCACAGCCTTGGTACACTCATGGCTACTCTCCTCTTGCCACAGGTCATAGGCTATGTCCTGTACCCAGAGACTACCAGGAGCCAGGAAGCCTGGGCAAGTTCGATTCACCAGTCGGCTGAGTTGTTCAGCCACTGTCTCTGTATGGCAGATGACTTGGACGCCATGAAGCTGGTAGTCGGCCTCTGTGCCCCCACGGATGATCCAGGATGCTTGGCGCAGGCGGATCTTGCCTCGGATAATAAGTGTGTAGGTGGGATTTGTACAGCGGTTGCTGCCATAGTAAAACTGGTAGGCCTTGAAGGTGTTATTGTTGTAGAATCTATAAGATCTTGTGATGAACTCTGGCCCCGACCTCACTTCACAACTGTTGAAGAAAAGAGCAGGTAAATCTTGAGTGAATTCAATGGCATGTGGAAGAGAGTAAGGGTATGAAAAGTCATTGCAGTAAGAAGAACAATGCTGACCATGTCCTTTACAACTGTTCATCTATTGAAAGTTCACAACCTAGGCATCATGTATGATGACGATCCACATCTGACAAAACTGAGGCACAAGAAACACATACAAGTTACCAAAAGAAGCAAGTTCTAGAGCTTAACCATGAATCTAGGCTATGTAGCCTCCCCAACTGGCCTTAATAAATCTAATCTAAGACTTTGTCACTCTTTGTATGTGAGGAGAAACAGAGGCCTCACAGGGAAGTTACCTTCTCTCTGATAAGAGGGGACAAGTGTGCTGCTGGTCTATACAAGGAACGGCCACCTTGTAGACCAAAAAGATTTGTGAACACTTCAAATGATGGACCTTGTCTACGGTGGTATGAGATTTCCTTTGTTCTGAAATGGAATCTTGGAATAGCAGAAATGGAAGTTTGCCCTTCTAGTCATTCAAAATTACTATTCTCTTGGTGGGGAAAAATAAGAGGCAATTAAGTGGGTGCAAAGCTAACAGAGATACCAGGATTCCTTTGGTTTATGTTGGTTGACAAAGAGGAATTGTCCTTAGGTAAACGCTAGGCTCCCAAGCCAGAAACTTGTGACTACAGAGCTCGGTCTACAGAACACAATGATAACTATTATGGGGTCAGGGATATTTTCACATTGTTTGCCATCAATCCATATAGACATAGCAGAGCCTGTACCGGCGGAGAGAAGAGGTTCCTAGAATCACTCTGCCCAGAGTTTGTCTATGAAGCTGGTTAGACCCTGGCCTTTTCAGTTATAATTCTTAGCTCAACAGAATTCTACCTTTGCTCATAAAGAACTCTGAGATGTGCTGACAGTATGGCTAAATCAAGCAAGTGGGCACAGGTGCTTCTTAAAATTGTCAACAATTTAGATTTTGAGTTGGCAGACTGATGAGAAATAACCACTATTTAATATGGGTGATTTTGTTATGTAGATACATTCATTGATGTTGAATGATTCCTTGTAGGTATAAAACACATGGTTCCCTGAGCACTAGTCACTGGAGGCAGAAGAAAGAGGAAAAGGATTTTGGCCCAAAGCAACTGGAGTTTAGTGTGAGCTGTGACAGAGGTCAGTGGAGACAAATGTGGGAAGATCTCTTTCATTTTTTTCTCTTAATCTCAACATCAACAGCCTGTAGATTCTACCTCCTGAACTCAGTGTATCTCAGACCCAGCCATTTTTCCATTGCTCTCCCTCTCCCATCCTTTTCACTTAAGCCAACATCAGCTCAAGCCAAATGCGTGCAAAGGCTCTCAACAGTCACTCCCAGCTCATGGTTGCTCCCATACATTTGCCACAAAACAGCTGGAGTGCCCTTTAATGAAGCATGGTCCAGGCATGACACCATTCCATCACTTTTAAGTTTTCCTAGATTAGAAGACCTATTAGCCGGACACATACCTGTAGTCCCAGCTACTTCAGAGGCATAAGTAAGAGGATCACTTGAGCTTAGGAGTTCAAAGTTAGCCTGGGCAACACAATGAAATACTGTCTAAAAAAAAAAAAAAAAAACACAACAATAAGAAAAAGCCTTCGCCAGATCAACAACAATAACAAACTAACAAACCAACAAAAAATATTCTACAAGATAACTCAGAGCCACCGTGGGGGAGCTAGGTTGCTCTCCGTGGTGTGAGGGAATACCTCACCGTGGGGTGTGGAACTCAGGCTGGTCAGGTCATACTCTATATCTAACCACAACTTTGCTAGTTTCTCTACACAGATAACTCTTCTTTTAGGAAGAAATTAGACATTCAGGGCCCATCCTCACCCTAAAGTAAGGATCTCTCACATTCTCCTTCTGTGCCTGCTGTCATCCCATCCCTGCCTCTCTATATCCTTCTGAAAAAAATCTCTGTCAATAGGAACCAAGTCTGTTTGAGTCACCGATATATACACAAAATATACACACAACTTCTTGACCCATAGCAGCCACCTAATAAATGACCATTTTCAGGTTATAATTTTAGATTTTAAATTCATATGCAAAGAATTTATCACAGCTATATTAAGAGACCCATTTTTAGAAACAAAATCTCAATGTCATTATTTTATAGAATTTGTTTTGTCCTACATCCATACGTGTTTGGTTATTTCCCCCACAGTCTCTGGAGGCTGCTATCCATATCCCAGGAATCGTGTGTAGGGTGGAATCATCAGATCCTAGTTAGTCTTGTAAATGCTCAACAATTTAATGGGTAGAAAAAAAAAATCACTGATCTGCCTCTAGGCTATTTTTAAAAGCTCTAATGGAAGATAAGCCAGAGCTCAAACTGGGATTAATCTCAGCTTCACAACACAGCAAAGAATCTAAGAACTGGCTAGTGGAGGCAGCTCTTAACTTACTCCCAGCACCCTGAAGCCCTAGATTAAGTTACCAGAAGATGGCGAGAATATTTAGACCATAAGAAGCTTTGCAGTCATGTTTCAGGATAGGTGAAACACAGACGCTTAGTTTCACTTGCTAATGGTTTCTCTTTATACGTAAGTGGTCCCATAGAGTTCAGTAAACAAGGATCTATTCACTCATACTGTGTAGCTAGCAGTGCTATGATACCATTGCTGCTTTTGGTGAAAGATTTCTATAGCTCTTAGCTCTATTTGCTTAACCAACCACAATTTCCAAGAATTGCCTGATTCTCAGTCACTGTATGTTACACAAAGCCAGCAACTAAACCCACCAGACCAGAGGGTCTTCCTAAGAACCCCACTCCCAGACTGCTCTCTCCCCTTCCTGTCTCAAGTCCAGTTCTTACCCTGTGGACACCCAGTGGCCTTCGATGGTTGGGGGCATCTGCACAGTGATCCGTGCACCATTGTGGAGATGCTTGAGCATATGATGGCACTGTGACTCCTTGAAAGCCCTCCAGGCACTTTTCTCTAAGGACCGAGGATGTGATCTGCTGTCTGGATGAAGGAGGGCAGAACCCTCTCCCAGCCCTGAAAAACAAGAGCAGGAAGTAAACAAAAGAGACAGCAGCAGGTGCTAGTTAGGTGGACAGTTGGGTCTCTATCTGGGAGTGGCTGTAGTGGCAAAAGCATGCTTACTCCAGCAGGCTGAACACAGTGCTCACTCTCTCAGAATTCCCATGCCAAAGTGGGGGACACTCTTGGAGATAATTTCCCAGGTGGAAAACAGAGGCCTGTGAGAATCAGAGCCTAGCTTGCTTGGGGCCACCCAGCTAGTTCCCTGAAAAGTCAGACAGAGTTCAGGTACATTTACCTCTGTTTTCTTGCATTTTCACAAGCACCTGGGTGGTAGAGCCTTAAATGGACCTTACAAGGTCAATTCTGAGAGGCATGATCTAGTGGTTCTCAACCTTCCTAATGCTGCAACCCTTTAATACAGTTGCTCATGCTGTGGCGATCCCAACCACAAAATTATTTTTGTGGCCACTTTATAACTGTGATTTTGCTACTGTTATGAATTATAATGTAAATATCTGTTTCCTGATGGTCTTAGGCAACCCCTGTGAAAGGGTTGTTCCACCCTCCAAAGGAGTCTTGACCCACAGGTTGAGAAACACTGTTCCAGAGGCACTGAAAAAGAAGATGTGGAGTTGAAGGGGGTACATATCAAGAAGGATGCCTTTACAAGCTGACATATTTAGGTGAGTTGAAAAAGCAACGACATTAACATCAGTGAAAACATAGCCTGGAAGATGTGGAAAAAGAAGGGGCCAGGGGACAGCTCTGAAACTCCTGTCTGGGATCTGCTCCTTGGCTAGCCTCCCATATGCTTATACTGAGTCACATATTTTCTGGCCACCACAGACTCCAAATGCATGCCCTTGTTATAGTTTGTCTAAAAGTTTATGATTTAGAATCTTGGCTTTCAGATTTTATGTTAAGAGATGGCTTTTAAGAGGTAAAGTCCAATAGGTGGTATCAAGGCCATTATGGGTGCCACCATTAAAACCTGCAAGCTGTGCATATTCAGATATCGGTGGGGATGGGATGAATTCTCAGTGTATATTCCCAGAAGTTAGAAGACGTATGTCTCTATATGAGCTCTAGGGTTCCCTCCGTAAAACGCAGCACTGTTGGCAGAGCAACTGCTTCTACTCATTAGCACTATTCACAGTTGGGAGACCACAGGCAGAGGGACCTGTGGGCACGATTCAACTAACAAAAACCTGAGTGAGAGATTCTTGACCTAAGTTGATGGTGATATGTCATGCTTTCAATGTGGAATTTCTCCTTGCAGGCTTATCGATTGATATGATTGTTCCCTAGCTGGTGGCATTATTTTGGGAAGTTGTGGAACCTTCAGGAGGTAGAGCTTAGCAGGGAAAAGTAAGTCACTGGGGACAGGCATTGCAAGGCTATAGCCTGATCCCTGGTGCCATTGCCCTCTCTGCTCTCTGGCCCCTGTCACATGCTCCCACCACTATGAACTGCATTACTCTACCCTGCCTTCCCCGCCATGATTGAGGGAAACTCTCTGAAGGAAGGAGACAGAATAAAAGTATTCTCCATTGCTGTTGTCAGATATTGTGGTCACAGTGAGGCAAAAGTTACTAGTACATGTGGTATTCAATCTAAGGCCCAGACCACTCTTTTGGCCTGAACTGCTTGCAGGCAATAATAAAAATGGGTAACTGTTGTCTATTTACAGTCATAGTTATGAAGCAAGGGCTTCCATTTCTAGGTTTTCCTGGAGGGAAGGTGTTTCCTCCAGTGATGCAGCAATGCTCCTAGCATCACTTCCCAACTCACATGTACTCTCCCAGATGGATGCACTGGGCAACAGAGGAAGAAGCAAGCTTGCTGAACTCAAGACATTGCTTTCTTTCCCAAATCAGCAAAATAACAAAATAGCACACACACACACACACACACACACACACACACACACACAC